TTTTTTGATTATTCGAAATTAATCTTAATAATATAAATATTACATATTCATGAAACAAATAGAATTTTTATTTGTCTAACAATTTTTCAATTAATTAATTTTATTATCCCTATTTTTTCCATTATTTATTTATTGATTATTTTTCAATATTTACAAATATACTGTATATACTGTATATACTGTTTGTCTAAAAAGTCTTTGGACAAATATTTTTTATAATAAATAAATAGCTATTTATTTAATTGTTATAAAAATTTAAAGATGTTTTTTAGAATGTAAAAAATAAAATAATAAGTTTTTTTTAATACTTTATTAATAAAAATTTTTTATAAGTTTTTATATATAAATTTATATATAAATTATAGATAGAAAAACAATTTTTACCATATAAAATTTTTTTAAAAAAATTATTGGATTAATAAAAAATTCTAAAAAAGTTTTTTATAATGTACAGTACCTGCATAAAGTAACGCCTGCTAATTTTTTCAGGTTTGTTACTTTTTTAACTATTACATAATAATACTTGATTGATATGGCTGGCTCTGCCATGCCATATCTCCAAAGAGTGACCTGGACCTGGGCGAATGCCACCAGATCCAATCGGCCGTTGGCCTTAGTTTTTTATAAAATTTTACTAATCAATTATAAAGTATGATATATACACACGCATCTTACGTCAAAATATAAATACACCATTTTTTTTTCACTTTTTTTTAAAATAAAAACCTATCTGATTGGTCTGGTAATAAATATAACTATCAGGACAATCTCTACAATCAAATTCACACCTTTAAAGAAAATGATATTTGATATTTCAAAGTTTAATTAAATCATGGAAAAAACAATATTCTATGATATTAAAGATTATAAAATTTTATATTCTCAAATTTGGTATATAAATAAAATTATCTAATATTTTGTACAAATTTTATTTAATTCTATAATAATATTTATGACGGCTATTATTATACATTTCAATATATAAAATCTTATCTTGAACTATTCAATATAAATTCATAATCACTATATTAAAATATTTTTTAATGAAATATTCCTCAAAAACATAAAATTCCTTAAGATATCTTTCATTTTTCATAAATTTTATTTATAAAATCCATTAAAGATTTCAATAATTTCTTTTTACAATTTTCATTACACATTTCATCATTACAATATGTAACAATTTCATTAAACCTATCATATATACAGTATATCTACCGAGAGTTTTATGCCGAAAAAAACAATAATTTCTTGATCTATTAAAGAAGATATGTTTATCAAAACAAAAATCAAAGGATATTAATCTAATCCCAAATTTTTGATTGATTTTTTTTATAACCTCTCTTATAACGACATAATATATTGATATGTTTAATAAAAATTAATTTATGTGTTTTATACTTGATCACCTTTTTCTTTGGTTCTGAAAGTTTCAAATTTCTTATAAGATATTTCCAAAATGAATGATGGTCAAGAACTTGTTTCCACTCCTTTGAAACTCTTGAAAGGGCTTGAAAATCTTTTGGATTATCAATATGATTAAATATTCGAGATATAATTTCAGCTGAAAATTTCATCACATAATAAAAATAAAATTCATTAATTCACTTACTATATATAATTTATTATTTGATATCACATGTATCTAATCATACGCAAGGCATCAAGCAACCCTTGTCACAAATTATTCTTATGCTTTTGTTACCAAATAAATTCTAACAAATATTTTTCAATCGATTCAGCACCTCGATGTCGAGGTTGAATTCGTATCTTCAATCCTCGCCAAGTTCCCTCAATCGTATTTGTATATGTTCCATTCAAATTGACAAATAATATCGATCGATTCACTTTCTCATGTATTATATTAAAATCTTTAAGATTTTGATAACCTCGCCAACAATCAGTTGCGACTATAGAACCTGGTTTAATGTATTTTGACACAATATCTCTAATCGTCTCTGCATTCCTTCAATCAACCACTACAAAGAAACATTTTCATTTCTTTGTTCTCTCAATACCACCAACCACCCAAATTTCGTCAGTATCTTTTCCCTTACAAAATTTTGATTCATCTATTTCCATGACAATTCCATCTTTACCAATTATCAAATTATCATCATTCAATGTTTCAATTACCAAGTCATAAAAATATCTTATATAATTTGAAATCGTGAGAGAAGCATATCCTGTCGCATTCAAGATTACTATATATGTTGCACCACACAATCAATAATATCCAATAAGCATCATATCCAAGCACTGGAGACGACTTCTTGTAAAGAATGTATTCCTAAAAATAGAAGTCTACTTTCGATATTGTCAATTATCACACACAAAAAAGTTCTTATAATATTTTATTGAAGAATTGCATAACAAACATTCATGAGGTTTTGATATAATTTTCTTCTTAAACAGAAATTTGATATATCAATTCTCATTATATATCTTTCTTCCCAAGAATTTTAAAAATGGTATCGTCATTTTTTTTAAAATACTTCATGCTCAAATTACATCCTATTTATATACAGTATTATAAAATTTATTAAACATTATATATAGAATTATCCCTAAAGTAAATGAAATCTTAAATATTCTATATGAAAATCTAAATATATTTATCTTCTTTATAAAATCAATAAAATCTATACACAAATCTTCTATGTTCATTAACAGTATATTATATTTTGATATGTATACATTCTTTATTGCACTCTTAGTATACCAATTTCTAACTGGAGTCACGATCACTCCTATAGTTCTAGCTGGTCTTCTTCCCAATGTTCCTTTGAGTTCCCAAATTACACTTGGTCCTATCATTTCAAAATATGATAAGTTTGTATTATCATTATCAAGATATGTCAAAGAACGTTCACAATAAAACATATTCATTGTGGTCTCGACATGCTTTTAATTTAACATCTCATATAATTATATTCACCAATGTAATTATAACCCAGTCCACATCACAAACCTCCATGCTGACATACAGGTTCACATATCTGGGGTTCTATGTGTAGCAGTATAATTTTGGACCATATAATAACTCAACAAACTTAATAAGTGACTGGCTTACCTATTTTTACCATTATTCAATTTTTTACCTGTATCACAAAAGGTCTCTCCACTATTCTTCCTTTGAGATCTATTCCATTATCTTCTCTTCTTCTAATCTTTTTTGATTTAATATTCATTTGTCAAAGTTCTTTATATACCTGGTTTTCAAGAAAATTCTCTTTAACAATAGATGAAAGCATCTTGTATTCAAATAATTCAAACTTACTCTCCTTTGATAATTCATTTTATTCAAATATTAAAGTTTTATTTTTCTATATTCAAGAATTTGTTTGTCAGTCATCAACACTTTTTAAGTAACTGCGTACATAGCAATGCATCAATGGTCACGATCCATTTATCAATAAAAATTTATTAAGTATAAAATAGTTTTAATCATATTTCTATTTCATAAATAAACATAGCAGAGATATTTATTCTTAAAAGACATATTCTCGGAAAATAAAGAGTGCATAAAAATAATATGCAAGTTTACCCGAAAAAGTATTTCCACATTTGTATATCATTTTAGAAAATCATAAAATTTTGACTCCAACAAACTTATTTCATTATTGCTATCTAAAATCTTTAACATATATATTATTCATTTCTTTCATCTTCATATTAATCGAAGATATAAAAAATAATCTTAAAAATATAAAAGATTTTGACTCCAACAAAACTAATCAAAATCTTGAATTACTTCATTCTTTAATTAAATAAAAATTGATTTATAATGTTTCTTTCATGTAAATACTTAAACTTGCCCCTCAACAAATCTCCCATTGATTCTTCCAATCTTGCTTGAATAACTACTAAACAGGCTGTTATTGAATAGTAATTTTTTCTTGAATAGACTTTGAAACAATTAATGTTCTAATTGCTTAAATTTGAATTCTTGAGTCATTCCAATTCCACTTTTAATAATCTTGTAATATCAGATCGATTCATTGTATTTTATAA